ATCTTTGCAATTGAAATGTTTATTTCTCCGTAATTTAGTATACTCCTCCTTAGTGACAAATTCGTTTAATGACGTGGCCTTAGAAGGGAAAACTCCTTCGTTAATTGAAATAACTTTAAAACATTTGAAATTCTAGAAGTTCCAAACATACTGAAGAGACGCAGAGCTCACAGAAAATGTAAACAAACTGGGTGGGGCTCAGTGACCATATTAGAAAGTCAGGCGAGGGAGCCGTATAACAACTTTTGGTCATAATTTGAAATGTCCGTATTAGTGTTCTGCTAATATGGACCCTACTGTATAGGGTTTGCTACTATCCATGGTTTTGGTATCCACCCCCGTGGATATGGGGGTCCTACTGTATTGCTAACCTTAAAATATTTTTGCTTCGCTAATATGGCATTTTAGTGCTGTATTAGCAAAGCGCTTTAAAGCAAAGCGCCTCAAAGCAAGAGACGCCTGTATGAAGTTTTCTGAGTGAGGTCATGATTTATAGGTAAGAAGAATAATAGTTTCCAATGAGATTTTGATGTTGCCATGACACTTTTGTTTTTTAAACAAATTTGCAAGATAAGTGAATGTAATGTGTTTGGGAGAGTTGTAGTCCTAAGATAAACCAAATGAGTTATCACAACTGTTATTTACAAATGACACACTGCTACTGAGTAATTAGAAAAGAAAATATAGAGATTGGTAGAAGAGTCAAAAAGACTATAAATGACGGAAGTTGAAAGTGAATGTAGAAAGCAGAAAGGTAATGTGAATAAGGAAATTAAAGATTACATGTTACAGCTGCAGGAAAGAATGGGGAGAAAGTGTAGGTGAATTTTTTACAAATTTCCAATGATATTATCAGTCATTAAGTCTATGAAAGAAAAAGCTAAATCACAGAATTAATCCCAGGAAAGAATTTTACAGGAGTGCTGAACTATCTGTGGAAAGGTGTTTCAAAGGATATAAAAGAAAAGGGGGACTACAGCATTATAGTGGTGTTCACATTTATGATGGCATGAAGTATGGTCCTGAAATGTGGTGACAAGGAGAAGGTTGATGGCAGTGGAAAGATCTTGTCTGGCATCACTGAGTTTAGTGCTAAATTTGATTATATTATTATTATTATTATTGTCTGTGATCAATTAAACTTGTGCTTCCCCTTCCTTTAATAAGTGTTACAATTTTATGGAAAGCTCAAAGTATGCACATTCTTTTGAACTACCTTAAACCAAGACTAAACTTAATACTATAAAACAGAAGTACAGTACACAGATGTGAAGCCACTTATGACTATAGATAAAGCAAAAGGTAATGGCAAGATGAAAATGAATGAAACACACAGAGGTACACAGCAGGTCAGAGAGAGTGATGATGCAGAAAAGATTTGCAACATGGTACCCAGATTTTTTCATTTGTATTAGCTAAAAATTCACTAAATAAATTACAGTGCAACTATATCCTGTTTTACAACTAAATGCAACTTTTATGCTTTATATTCAAGTTCCTCTACTCACAAATATTTTACATTCTCTCTAATATCTCTCCTGTTTATGTTTTCAACTCCCTTTTTATTGTCTCCTCCCTTTCTTTAACTCACCTCAAGCCTACCCTGCCAAAGTAGGTCCACTAAATAAAAGATGTCACTCTCAAAGTAGAGCAGCTGCTGGGCTCTCGCTGTCTCGCCATCTTTCACTGCTTGGAACATCTGCTGCAGCACACCCTGTACAACAAGTGAGATTTGTAAAGGCTGTGTCTACCAAATTTGAAGATCTGTAAACTTCATGATGTGTAACATGCAGGACACAAAAGACAGGCCTAAGTGCAGAACAAGCAAATGAAAGGCCTTTACTCTTCAAGGGTGGGGTCCCTTGATACTAATAGGTTCCTGATCCAAGGAATTAAAGCCCTTTCCTTGGATCAGACCTATTTGCCTCCTATTCTCCGGGTGCTTTATGACCCCTAAGGGTTCAGTACTTCTCAATGATATATTAAGAACACCCACAGTTTCCCATGATTTTACCTGACATCTTCTGTACTCTTGAAGGAACAGCCCAATGTCCTGTTCAAGACTCTCTTGTGCCTCTGCCACAGTTTCTAAGCGACCAAACCCACGCAGGGCTAAGAGGTCACGCCGTCTGGGGTAGATGTCGGGTCGGGTTAGCCAAAGGGCTACAAAACCATCCATGAGCTGTACCAGGTCTTCACGTTTGTTTTTCAAGGCCACATCTACTACTGTCAGTCCCTCAGGGTCACGCTCACACACCAATGCTGGACCACCTACAAAAGAAAAGTTTTATAAACACAATCAAATTTGCTGTGGTCAATCCATAAATTAATGTAGTGTGTACTAAAATCCATTATAAACTAAGTATAGTTTTTCATTTTAATATGAAGACATCACAATAATGAAAGGTTTCTTTAGGAACTCGAAGAGCACCCATATCCGTGTAGTGAGTTCTGGGTATTTTGAATGACGGTAGAAAATCAGTCCTACAAAATAGCTGAGAGCTGCTTACAGTGCATATATTCTGTGTCTTGACAAAATATATCTACAGTACATGGCATCAAATCTAATTAAATCTCATTACACAAGTGCTGTATGATCCATAAAAGTTTAGCAATCAAAAGGAATGTATTAATAATGGTTATATATAATATAGACAATATTATGTATGCTCCTGAATATGAGTTATACCTGCTAACCTGGAACACTCCCAGAGTTTTACTACAAGGTATTTTTATTTTATTATCACACTGGCCGATTCCCACCAAGGCAGGGTGGCCCGAAAAAGAAAAACTTTCACCATCATTCACTCCATCACTGTCTTGCCAGAAGGGTGCTTTACACTACAGTTTTTAAACTGCAACATTAACACCCCTCCTTCAGAGTGCAGGCACTGTACTCCCATCCCAGGATCAACCCGGCCTGCCGGGTTTTCCCCTGAACCCCTTCAAAAAATGTTTACTTTCTCACCTCCAACAGCATCAAGTATTAAAAACATTTGCTCCATTCACCCTATCAAACACCTCACGCTGCCTGCTGGAAGTCCAACCCCCTCGCACACAAAACCCCCTTTCCCCCTCCCTCCAACCTTTCCTGGCCGCCCCTACCCCCCCTTCCTTCCACACAGACTGATCACTTTAAAGTCATTCGTTCGTCCTTCTCTCTACATGCCCGAACCCCCTCAACAACCCTTCCTCATCCCTGGACAACATTTTTTGGTAACCCCGCACCCCCTCCTAATTTCCCAAAAACTACAAATTCTCTGCATTATATTCAACCCACACTGCCCTCAACATACATCCCACTGCCCCCACCTTCTCCCCGCTGCAACATTCCATCACCCTGCTTTACACCATACAAGAGCGTTGTAAAACTATACCTCATCTTCCCCTCTTTGCCCCCAAAGGGCAAAGTTCTTTGTCTCCACAGACTCCTAAGTGCACCCCTACCCTTTTCCCCCTTTATCAATTCAGATTCCCTCATCTTTCATAAACCCCTCCCCTGACACGTCCACTCCCCAAAAACTGAAAAAATTCACCTCCCCAACCCCTTCCTCCAATCTATATCCCCAAACTTCATCACCAACTTTTGTTATCCCCATAACCTTACTCTTTCCTGTATTTACTTTTTTTTTCTTTTTTGCATCCCAAACCAAAATTACCACCAATCTCTGCAACTTCTTTCAAATCTCCCAAGCACAGTGCACACAAGAGCAACTGGACAAATCCCCCACTTTAGGGATTCTTTATCTTTTAACTCCACGCCTCTTGCCAAGACCCTCGCATTTATTTCTCTTACAACCCCATCTATAAATATATTAAACAACCACGGTGACATCACACATCCTTGTCTAAGGCCTACTTTTACTGGGAAATATTTCCCTCTTTCCTACATACTCTAACTTGAGCCTCACTATCCTCGTAAAAACTCTTCACTGCTTTCAGTAACCTACCTCCTATACCATACACCTGCAACATCTGCCACATTGCCCCCCTATCCACCCTGTCATACGCCTTTTCCAAATCCATAAATGCCACAAAGACCTCTTTAGCCTTATCTAAATACTGTTCACTTACATGTTTCACTGTAAACACCTGGTGCACACACCCCCTACCTTTCCTAAAGCCTCCTTGTTCATCTGCTATCCTATTCTCCGTCTTACTCTTAATTCTTTCAATAATAACTCTACCATACACTTTACCAGGTATACTCAACAGACTTATCCCCCTATAATTTTTTGCACCTCTTTTCTCCCCTTTGCCTTTATACAAAGGAACTATGCATGCTCTCTGCCAATCCCTAGGTACCTTACCCTCATCCATACATTTATTAAATAATTGCACCAACCACTCCAAAACTATATCCCCACCTGCTTTTAACATTTCTATCTTTATCCCATCAATCCCGGCTGCCTTACCCCCTTTCATTTTACCTACTGCCTCACGAACTTCCCCCACACTCACAACTGGCTCTTCCTCACTCCTACAAGATGTTATTCCTCCTTGTCCTATACACAAAATCACAGCTTCCCTATCTTCATCAACATTTAACAATTCCTCAAAATATTCCCTCCATCTTCCCAATACCTCTAACTCTCCATTTAATAACTCTCTTCTCCTATTTTTAACTGACAAATCCATTTGTTCTCTAGGCTTCCTTAACTTGTTAATCTCACTCCAAAACTTTTTCTTATTTTCAACAAAATTTGTTGATAACATCTCACCCAATCTCTCATTTGCTCTCTTTTTATGTTGCTTCACCACTCTCTTAACCTCTCTCTTTTTCTCCATATACTCTTCCCTCCTTGCATCACTTCTACTTTGTAAAAACTTCTCATATGCTAACTTTTTCTCCCTTACTACTCTCTTTACATCATCATTCCACCAATCGCTCCTCTTAAATCCGAGTGGGGATTTATGGGGTTAAATCCGAGTGGGGATCTGTAACAAGTGGCGTTCCACAGGGATCAGTCTTGGGCCCGTTGTTGTTTATAATATATATCAATGATCTTGATGAGGGAATTACTAGTGATATGAGTAAATTCGCTGATGACACAAAGATAGGTAGGATAATTGATTCAAACGTAGATGTTATGGAACTTCAGGAGGATTTAAACAAACTCTATTCTTGGTCAGAAAAGTGGCAGATGCAGTTCAATGTAGATAAATGCAAGGTTCTGAAGCTTGGGAGTGCCCATAACCCTAGTACTTATAAGTTAATGATGTAGAACTTAGCCATACAGATTGCGAAAAGGACTTGGGGGTTATGGTGAGCAGAAACCCTTTAAAACCCAAAGACAGCAATGCCTAAGCGTACGTAAATAAGGCAAATGATTACGGGGATTTATATCAAGAAGTGTAAGCAACGGAAGTCCAGAGGTCATACTGGCAGCTTTATACATCATTAGTAAGGCCTCACCTAGATTAGCAGCTCAGTTCTGGTCTCCATATTACAGAATGGACAAAAATTTCCCGTTAGAAAACTTCAGCGTAGGATGACTAAATTAATACATAGCATTAGAAAACTTCCTTATGAAAAGAAAGATTGAAGACTTTTAAAGTTTCTTTCACTTGGTGACGTAGAAGAGGGGAGACCTGATCGAAGTGCATAAGTGGAAGATAGGTATTAATAAAGGGGATATTAATAAGGTCTTGAGGAATGTCTCTCCAAGAGAGAACCCGCAGTAATGGATTTAAATTAAAAAGTTTTAGATTTAGAAAGGACATAGGAAAGTTTTGGGTTTGGAAATAGGGTAGTTGATGAGTGGAACAGTCTTCCCTAGTTGGGTTATTGAGGCTGGGACTTTGGGTAGTTTCAAATTTAGGTTGGATAAGTACATGAGTGGGAGGGGTTGGATTTGAGTGGGACTTTCACATCAGAGCTTATTTCTTGGGTGGCATTGAAAATTGGGTTGGGCAAATGTTTTTGGGTTAGTGGGAAAGAATTGTAAAGGACCTGCCTAGTATGGGCCAACAGGTCTCCTGCAGTGTTCTTCCTTTCTTATGTTCTTATGTTCCCTCCTGCACCCACTTTCCTGTAACCACAAACTTCTGCTGAACACTCTAACACTACATTTTTAAACCTACCCCATACCTCTTCGACCCCATTGCCTATGCTCTCACTAGCCCATCTATCCTCCAATAGCTGTTTATATCTTACCCTAACTGCCTCCTCTTTTAGTTTATAAACCTTCACCTCTCTCTTCCCTGATGCTTCTATTCTCCTTGTATCCCATCTACCTTTTACTCTCAGTGTAGCTACAACTAGAAAGTGATCTGATATATCTGTGGCCCCTCTGTAAACATGTACATCCTGAAGTCTACTCAACTAAATTAGAATATACAAGGTATTGTATATTCTAATTTATTTGTAAGTCTACTAAGTACAGTACTGCAATACTTGAGGGAAGCTGGGTTGTGTCACACGTATCTTTGTTTTATTCTTAATGTCAGGCTGTTGCACTGACTCATATGGGTTTGGTGCTTTGCAGGACTGTTTTGCCCTATGTACTTTTGAATATGTACTTTCAATTAACCCTTTCAGGGTCCAGAGGCCAAATTTCAAAGTGTACACCAGTGTCCAAGAATTTTCAAAAAATAATTTTGTTATTTTTTCTTATGAAATGGTAGAGAATATTTTTCTGAAGGTAATAAAACAAAAAGTACGAAATTTGATGGAAAATTGATGAAATTATGCTCTCGCAAATTTTGATGTGTCAGCGATACTTATGCATCGGCGATTTTGCCGGCTTTGACTCCCATTTTAGGCCAATTACCTTATTCCAGTCGACCAAATTCTTAGCTATTTTAGTAGTATTACTTCTATTCTATCGATTGAGCACAAGAAATTGCCAACTCGACTATTTCAACTACAAAATAAAGTGATCGGAAATTGGTAATTTGGCCAATTTAGTGCAAAGATCAAAATATTCCAATTTCAAATTAGGGTCCAGAATAAACAATGCAGGCATTCCTGGCACTAAACTAACATTTCCTCTGTTCATTAGTTATGTTTTCAGGCATTACAAATGAATTCCATTTTGATTTTTAATTCACATAATGAATTTTTATTCAAACCAAAAAATAGAAGACTTACTGTCATGCAATATTGTAATAATTGTATATGTAATATCAACACATTTGTGAATGTATATTAGACCCACCAGCTGGCGTGTATTAGAAGTGTGAGGCCATTTGTTTACTCTTGAGCATCGGCAAAAATTTAACATTTCCGCTACTTCGAGCTGTTTCAAGCCAGTTTCATTACTAAAACCAATCAAAATCATCTCTATTTCTGTAATATATCTTCCATTCTATCAAATGAGACCAAGAAATCACAAATACAACTGTAAAAAAACATACAAAAAACACTGCAAAGTTGCTGTTTTAATCGAAAATTATGGTCTCAGTTTTCTCTCTCATTATGCACTGTGTGCTGCAGGATTTGTTTTATGTGGTGCACATGTACCACACAGATGTATTCTCTTATATCTAGGCCCAAATTTGCCGCTCACAGCTTATCAGAGTGACCTGAGCTCATGGTGTAGATCTGCGGTTTGGACCCTCAACGTAAAGCCGTAGACCTATGGCATGGACCCTGAAAAGGTTAATTTCCTGCAGTAGCTTGGCCTAAATCGAAAATGATGAACATAAAATGGGCATTGCAACAATGTTATTATGTATATATAGTATTTATAGCACTGCTTCCCTCCTAGCTTTACCTTTATTGTCATCTCCACCCTTATTTATCCTTATATCCTGCATCAGTTCCTACCGTGCAGAGCTGTATGACCCTGGTAGGTTTAGCGCTTCCTTTGGATTAATATAATAATAATATGGCACTACTATGTACCATATTCATACAGGTAATGTTTTTATAAATAAAGACTATTTTGTTTTATTTGAAAAGAGTAATACAGTCTTTGTCTTACTTCTCTACAATCACAAATACATACAGTGAATCCTTTATTTAACACACTAATATGTAACAGGAAGGCATCTATTAAAGCTGAATTAGGAGATTATTTTTTCCATGATCATAAGAGTAACAGACAATTTTAGATTTAATGGACTTTGCTCATTAAATATATTAAAATAAGCAATAATCATGAACAAGAGATACAAGATGCAAAACAACCACGGGAGTTGAATGATGGCTCTAGGCTTTTTGTGTTGCAATTAAACACTTCAGGAGCTTGCAATGTTGCAGAAATGAGTAGGAAATCCAAGCAGATTAGTTCAGAGGAACATTCTAGCTCAAATGAGGTAGATGTCAGGCACACCAGTTGTGTCAGGCAGACTAGTGCCAAGTGCCAGAAAGATGAAGACAGTATTTAAAGCATTAGGAGACAGCCAACCCACAAACTGATAATGCAGTGATGACCTAGCAAACATAACAGTAGTGATTTGACAATTATCAAAAATTCGGTCTGACTTTGATACGATAATAAAAGACTTTAAATTCTGAATATAGATGTATCTGGCAATTGTCTTAGGAAAATTCTCTAATATTAAGGAAACTGGTCTTTGGCTGCCTCACTTAAAACAAAAAGAGACATAAAATAGTTTATCCAGAGGGAGAAGACTATAGCTTATCTATCCCACCCAACTCTTGAGCAGAGGCTGGTCTAACACAAGAAATCAGGAAAACAGGCCCAATTCCTCGGTGTGGAACTATGACACTAAAGACAATCCAAAGCATTCATATAGGACTTTGGCTTTAGGCTATGCATGATGGCCTTCATCTTTGTGGCATTTGGCACTTGTCTGCCTGGTGTCTCCTATCTCATTCGAGTTAGAACATTCCCCTGAACTAATCTGCTTGGACCTCCTACTCATTTCTGTAACACTGCAAGCTCCTGATGATGTGTTGCTTGTGACAAGGAAGTGCCTAGAGCTATCATTCAATTTACCCTGTGGTTTTGCATATTAAAATAAATTTTCCCAGCAGACCACAATAACAAACATTCTGTTAAATCAAGAATTGGTCATAACAATAAGAACAAAATTCTAATTTAATGAACCTTGAATGCTATATCCAAAATGAATTCAAGTCTGGATTTAACAGACTCTGTCCGGTTTCCAAAGGTCCAGCCACTGATTTTGCCCGTTAAATCCGAAGCCCTTTAAATCAGGGAATGTCAAATTGGAGGAGGGAGAGGGAGAGGGAGAAGTCTCCAGCCTGGCAAAGCTGCAGGTTGCTGATGCCTTTTGTATACAGCAAAACATAGGTGAAGATGGTAGCACTACAATTATAACAAATATAAAATGCAGGACCAAATTTAACTGTATACAGCTCACATTTTACCTCGGGTTCTGTTCCTAACACTCACGTCGAAAAACAAATTCATGGCTAATTGAGGAACCCCCCATACTGATTCCCTCAAGCATTTATAACTTCGGTTCACGCATTCTTTTTGTATCTTGGTCTTCAAACTAGATCACCAGTAATTTCTCAATTTCATGAATGAGGCCTTTCTGCTGCCTAGTTATTATGGCGTGAAATTCTGATGATGCTTGCACTGCCTCATTTCCCTTCAAGAAAGTGAATGATAGAACTGCACCAGCTTCAATGTCCACAGGCTATCACGTATGGGCAAATTTTTTCTTACCAGCTTCATATTTGCTTGTAATCTTCACTTTCACCTCAAGATGAATAGCCTTCCTATGTTTCTTGGTGCTTCCTTCAGGTGAAGTCAAGATTTTCCTTTTCACTGACATCTTGTACTTTGGGGGGTGCACAATGAAGTACAAATTTGTACAAATTACTATGTAGTCTTGGAGACTGTGAAAGCTAGTGTACTGAGATGCTTGACGCTGAGATGCTGTGCTGCCCATTTCCATGACATCTTGTACTATAGGGTGCACAATAAAGTACAAATATGTAGTCTTGGAGACTGTGAAAGCTAGTGTACTGAGATGCTTGATGCTGAGACGCTGCGCTGCCCATTTCCATGACCCAAGTTCTCATACGGCATACAATACCAACTGGCTAGAGAGCCCGTCGCAACTCTGAGTTGTCAGTAAACGAGTACATTGCTAAGTGATGAGAGGCTGTATTTAAGGTGGAATGTTAGTACTGAGTGTTTATGCCATTGATACACCCAGAGAATTGAAACCTAGTGTGGTAGGCTCATAATAAGCATAGATTCGTACACTGTACCTCTCAAAAATATTCTGTGTATTACCCCAATTTTTGTCTAAATGTCCGATCTTAAAACCTAGACTAGAGTGGAAAATCGTGACCCTTGCTAACGAATGCAATGCATAAACGTTAAATCCAACCCAACAAAAGCATTTGAGCGTAAAAATTTGGCCTGGTTACGATAAAAAACTCGCACACTTGATTTCGTCCCGAACCTGCCGTCCATCCTTAGCACCTCAGCTAGCCGCTTCGCCACTGGTTACAAAGCAGAGTGGCCAGTTTCAGGCATACATTCGATATATGATGTATTATTCCAATGTTATAGTGCTTGTAACTGCTAAATAACCACCAAATCCAAGAAGCTTCGAGTGCCAACCCTGTGGTAAAAAGGGTGAGAAATAACTATCGTACCACGGTCAGCGCTGCTGCAACCACCGCAGCAGTTGTACACCACCTGTCAGCTTACTACTCGAAGATGTGGAGAGACTGTTTTGTTGGGTGGTTTACGAGAAAAATTAAACGAGAAACAATAACCCCATAGAGTAGCCACCCAGGAAAACCCAAGAAAAACAGAGAGTCATCATGGAACTGTCTAACTTATTTCCATTGGGGCCCTTAAACCTTGTCTCCCAGTATGCGACTCACACCATCGACAACACCCAGGTGAACAGGAAAAAATGCCTGGAACTAGTGCTCATAATTGTGAAATAAAGTCCCAGCACAGGTTGGGTTTGAAAATTTAAGAATCGTAGTGGGCATACACATTGTAATACGACATGGCGGAAGCTGAAAATTCCATGTCCTGGAGAAAATGCCAAACCAAGACCTACATTACTCAGGAGGAAAGGCACTCCCAGGACACAAGCCTATGAAAGATAGGCAAACATTTTATTTTCTTGTTTTGTGTTGTTAAGCTAGTGGGATTGCAAAGTGGAAGCCTTTACTCATGTAATTCAATTCAAAGTTTATTCTCTCTAAAGATTACATGTTGAATTTACGAGAATTTGGTTTGTGTGGTTTACAAGTAAGTTAAATAATGATTACAGATTGTACCACAGAACGCCTAGCTGGCTAGGCATTTCGGGCAGAACTAGTTTAATTCTTATTTCCAATATAACTGGGGAAAAAAAATCCACAGATTGTTCAAGAAAGACACAGGTGACTCATCACTCATCAATACTCTTCAATAAAGGTAAGTGTCATTTTAACATTTATTTATACAGTGGACCCCCGTTAACGATATTTTTTCATTCCAGAAATATGTTCAGGTGCCAGTACTGACCGAATTTGTTCCCATAAGGAATATTGTGAAGTAGATTAGTCCATTTCAGACCCCCAAACATACACGTACAAACGCACTTACATAAATACACTTTCATAATTGGTTGCATTGGGAGGTGATCGTAAAGCGGGGGTCCACTGTATAGTTATTGTGCATCTCATTGTTTTCTTTGTAGGGAAATGTATATTTCATGAAAAAAAAAATTATTTTTTAATACTTTTGGCTGTTTGGAACGGATTAATTGGGTTTCCATTATTTCTTATGGGGAAAATTAATTCGGCTAGTGATAATTTTGTCTAATGATGAGCTCTCAGGAACGGATTAATATCGTTAGCTGAAGGGTCCACTGTAATATTTAGTCAATTAACATAAAGGAAAAAGCAAAAGATTAAAACATTACAGGGTGAAATAAGAGAACTACAGCATAAGTAAACAATCAATCATATTAAACTATACTGACCAACTTCAATGATTGCTTTGATAGCATCAATATGAACTCCATTTTCTACGGCCTGTCTAAGAACATTTTTTCCCCGGTTCCACACACGCTCTAAGAGCCGAGCCTCTCTGGATACTGCAGTAGGAAGTAGACTCTTCACTACCTCAGGATCCATCCAGGACTCAAGCGCTGTGAAGATTACTGGAACATCCATCTGGGATAAAAGAATAAATAAAATAAAATCATTTTTATCCATGAAATAGTTTTGCAGTAGTGACTTACATGAATAAGCTCCTGGTTATGCAATGCATTCTGGGTAAATTATGAATAACTTAAGGCTAACCTAATAACAGGGACAACATTTCCAATTGTACTGGGACTGAACCTGGGATTTTCTGATGAGAGCTAAGACAGTATCAATTGAGATGCAAGTAGGAAGAGACGCTGAACATAACTGTGTGTTCAACACACAATTAAACAGTCCTGGCCAAATCTGGGTGGGGAGAGACATATGGGCACATCTGTGAATACCTGACACTCCTGTTACCTAGAAGTAGATATCCAGGAGTTACTTGACCACTGTATCCAGTGGTAGGTCCTAAAAAAAAAAAAATTGGAAACAAGCCAACCTGCATGATTAACCTGGGTTACCCTAGATTATTAATCCTTTGAGGTTTATTAATCTGAATAAAGTTTTCCTCAATACCAGCAGTAAATAAAAGAACGCATATGAAGAGATAAAACAAACCAGTGAATGAGAATACTGTTATTATAATATATAAAAACACTTCCAATTTTTTGGATCAAGAGGCCCTTCATCAAACTGGGAATGACAGGACTGATCTGGCAGATATTTCAAACACTGAACAAGACTAACAGTGTCAGTCCCAACCACTTCAAGAAGTTCCATATAACAAATGAGGAGCAACAATTCCAAATCATGAAACTGCCAAATGTGTTGAAGCCTAGTCTGTATTATAGTTCAAAATTCACTTAGGGAAACTCGAGTAAAACAGAAAGCCAGGATGCGAATATAGAGTTTCTGTCATGCAATTAGTGGGAGGATCAAACCTCCACCACTCCTGTGCAAATAAGATAAAAGATAAAGATTTTTCCTGTAAAGGTTACATGTGAATATAATTTTGTTTAATAAGTACATAAGGACAGCCATTCATGCGGGAATTCGGAAAGACTTCCTATACTAATAACTACTCAATCTAGATAAAATAATAATGTAAGTTATAAAATCTTATTTATCTTAAGACTATGCAAGGTATCAGGGTGGAGTTTACAATAATAATCTGAAGTTGACATAATAAAAACAATATTACAATAATGGGTTTCAAGCAGTTCAGGTTAGTGAGTTCAGATCTTCAGGCCTTATGTGCATTGCTTTTTGAAATAGTAATATGATTATATTATTATAATCAAGGGAAGCGCTAAACCCGAGGAATTATACAGCGCTTGGGGGGGGGGGATGTGGAAGGCATTCAGGCTTAATTCGGGGAACTGGAGCACAGATCCAATTCCCTAAATCAAGAGCCCCTCACCAACATCAAGGAACCTTCCTTGAGGGGTGCATAGTATGAGACTAGCATGAGGGACGTCGAAGAGTGCCTTATGCCTTGTGTTGTGACTGCGTTCTGTTGAAGATATCAAGAAGTTTGAGTGGAGGGTTTATACTGGAGTTTAATGTTCTGTATATGTAGAAGGCACAATAACATGAGTGTATGTCTCGTATTATTTAGCAAGTTCAGGCTTTTGAAAAGTGGTGGGGTGTGTTGTCTAGCACAGGAGATGGTAATCATCGACACAGCAGCTTTTTGTTGGGTTATTAAAGGTTTAAGGTGGTTGGCTGTGGTTGACCCCCAGGCACAAATACTAAAGGTGAGGCAGGGAAATATTAAAGAGTGGTATAGAGTAAGGAGTGTTATTTGGAGTACACAGCATTGTATTTTAGAAAGGATGCCTACTGATTTGGAAATTTTCTTGGATATATGTTGGATGTGGGAATGAAATTTAAGATTACAGTCAAGGAGAAGACCTAGAAATTTACTCTCAGTGTTTATTATTATTATAATCAAAAAGAAGCGCTAAGCCACAAGGACTATACAGCTCTCAGTGTTTAACACTTCATATAAATATCAAGTAAAATGACAAATTGTGCACAGCCACAGGCAATGAACAATTTGGGCTTATGTTTAGCATCATGGTTTACCAAGAACTAGAACTGTTTGGTTGTTCAGCCTAGAATATTCCCAAAATCCTTATTAATTCAATGGCACCGTTACCAATTTTCAGCTATCTGAACATTTTGCTATGTTACCCACAGGTTGAGATGGGGTGCATAATAAGGATATTAAATTGAAAACTGGTGAATACACTGCTTTTCAATGAACATAATAAATACACATATCTATCAGCATAAATGTCACATAAAAGAGACCCCGTGGCCTGGCTGACAAAGCTCGCACGTCACGATTCACGAAATCGTAATGACACGATTGCAAACAAACCATACCACGGATGGGGATAGAACCCACAATCAGAGTCTCAAGACTCCAGACCATCATGTTAGCCACTGGACCAGCTAGCCACAATAAGATTCATCCAACTAGGTATATTTATACACCATAGGACTTGAGCTAGAGTTCGTCACGGTCACGCTAGCTGGGGATTCGTCTGTAAAAACTTGCATTTGTGGTCACAGTGGTTATTATTATTATTATAATCAAGGGGAAGCGCTAAACCCGGAGGATTATACAGCGCCTGGGGAAGGGGGGGGGGGTGTGGAAGGCATTCAGGCTTAATTCGGGGAACTGGAGCACAGATCCAATTTCCTAAATCAAGAGCCCCTCACCAACATCAAGGAACCTTCCTTGAGGGGGTCACAGTGGTGCCTATGCTAACCTTCCTATGGTGTAGAAATATACCTAGTTGGATGAATATTGTTGTGGAAAATAAATTCCCATAATTATACTGTATATATTTTTATAATGTAAATATACATGATTAATGCACTACTGTTGTTCTAAATTGTATTTTGAATAGAACCAACCGGGTTCGCCCTGCGCCTGCGCGGATGTGCGGGGGGGGGGGGGAGAGGTCGAGTCAGGGCAGAGAGAGGCGGGAGTGTTTTGAATGTAGTGAGGAGGCTGTGAAAACATGGGACCAGGAAATTTTCATTCACGGCGGCCTAAGGATTAATATAGGCCTCACTTCATAATAGGAAGTGTCGCAACTGTTCCTGGTGAAGAGTGAGGGAATGTGATTTATGGGACCACCGTAAAAAGGTGGTAAAATTAGTGAATAATGGTTCGACCGGGGGTGACTGGTGCGAGGCCATGGTGTGTGTCCTGGGGAATTACCCGTGAGTTAATCCTCACTCATTGGTCTCAGATCTTAATGGAGTGACCTCTAATGTGTATAATAATTATGAGACATTAAATCGTCTTGTGAATTGTAATGTAATCAGTGATAATAACACTAAGTTAAGAGAATATGTGAAGTGAAATGAGTCGCCGTTCTCAGAGTGAGCATCTGTTTATCTCGTGTTCCTGTCTCGAGGATAGTGAAGGTTTTATGGAGTTACGACTTCTAAACCGGGATAAACCAACGAATACCTCGTCCTGTTGGAATAAGAACTGTGTCGGTGTAGCAGGACATCGAAATGAGATGGTGAATGGAGGAAATAGGAGTATCAATCACCCACAGTTAAGTAACCCTTCTAGTTATAGCAGACTGATACTGGCCAGTTAGGTATGTTGTAATTGATAGGTTATGGTGATCCAGCTACATCAAGTGACCACCAGAGAATATCTGGTAAGTGGTGGGGTTATGTACAAGTGTTTTTCCTTGATGGATATATCCAAGTGTAACCTACCCCCCCCTTCATTCAGTTAAACTAATATAATCTATACAGTCCACAATTAATTAGTAGCGCCGTACTTGTGGGTGCTATCCAATTTATACTGGTCCCGGATAGATATGATAAGATTGTGAGGTCGAAGGAACCACCTGCCATGACCAGGGGTGGTTAAGTTTTCTCACATGTCTACACGGGGTGACTACGGTAAACAATATGGTTGTCTCCCAATGAGATTACTTGTATGCATGTAATGTTGAGGTTCATACAGGTAACACCCTACAAAATTTTCCATAATTATTGTAGCTAGCTGGTCCAGTGGCTAACGCGACGGTCTGGAGTTTTGAGAGTTATCGCGTGTTCTATCCCCATTCGTGGTATGGTTTCTCTCACTTCACAAACGGAGGGTCCGAGTTTGATTCCCGGTGGGGTAGAAACACTTCGACGTGTTTCCTTACACCCATTGCTCTATTCACCTAGCAGCAAGTAGGTACCTGGGTGTTAGTCGACTGGTGTGGGTCACATCCTGGGGGACAAGACTGAGAACCCCGAATGGAAGTAAGAGACAGTCCTCGATGACACACTGCCTTTTCCTGGGTTATCCTGGGTGGCTAACCCTGCGGTGTTAAAAATCTGAACGAAATTTTAAATTTTCCGAGAGGTAAAAATTTTGAAACAACAAGCTGATGAAACACTATGGCAGAATTGAAAGGTTTTCCCCAGTGTACTCACCATAGAGTCATCCAGCATCTGGGTGTAGAGGGAGGCTCCATGGTGCCTCAGCTCCTTGATCAGCTCGTGATGGCCACCACGGATGAGAAAGAATAACAGTGGTGCCCCTCGCTCGCTAAGCTTTCTGATGTCAATATTAATTTTTTTTCTGGTGGGGGATTCCAAGAGTTCTCTCACAGCCGATACATTCCCTGCCAGGGAATGGTGGACGAGACACTGAAATGGAATCACAGAGAAGAGTAATAATTTATATCTGAATAGGTAGCTCATGCAAATAATTTTATTCTTCAGCTCTAAATGTGGTAAAATCCTGAAATTCATGATGATTAGGTTTTGAGAAATTAATAAGTTTATTTAGGTACAGGTATACATCCCGTAGCTCAATCGCTAGTGCACTCAGGTCTCACACTGACGTCCAGAGTTCGAATCCCCGGTATGGCTGGAAAACATTAGGACGTTTCCATAAGACACCTGCTGTCCATGTTCACCCATCAGTATAAAATGGGTACCTGGGTGTTAGTCGACTGGTGTGGGTCGCATCCTGGAGTTTACCTGGAGAGAGTTCCGGGGGTCAACGCCCCTGCGGCTCGGTCTGTGACCAGGCCTCCTGGTGGATCAGAGCCTGATCAACCAGGCTGTTACTGCTGGGACAAAACTGACCTAATCTGCCGAAATTCTCGGCATAACAAGCGGCTTTCTATATAGTAGTATGTCATTGATGTTAACTAGGCCTGTATACCTTGTACATGTACTTGTAGAAATAAATAAAAAAGAAGCGCTAAACCCACCAGGGTCATACAGCGCTGCAACAAAACCAGAGGATTGCATACATAGCTTCAAAACAGCAAAAGATACATTACCTATACGATACAAACACCCAAGAAATATATCAGAAAAAATGAAATAAAGCCTTGTCAATAAAAAAAAAAATTCTCCACAGTGAGAAGCCCCCCAAAAAAGGAAAAATAAAATACTGTGTTACGGTGTTAATGTACCTACCATGGAAGGCTTGATGCTCAATAGGAGGGAAATAATGGCTTCATTGCCAGTGCTAATGGCTAGTTCCTTCAAGGTCATTCCTCCACGGATCAGGTCAACTCGACACCATGAATTAACCAGTTGACGAACCTGTCAATGAGGGGAGTACAAGAGTTACACGTAATTACACGTATTATTATTGTTTTTGTTATTATTAATTACACTACATAAGACAGAAAATACTGCACAACACAATAACGCCAAATATCAACAAAATAACAAAAAAAAAAAAAAAATGCCATAACATTCCATATATCACAGTAACTGCGTTTAAAGGATAATTTATGTCCAATGGAGTCTGATAAAGACTCAGGCGTCCCGTATCTCTTATTGCTAGCACACTCAGCTTACACATTCAGGTCCGGGGGTCGATCCCCGGTACGGATAGAAACATTAGGCCGTATTTCCTTAAGACACCTGCTGTCCATGTTCACCTAGCAGTAAAATAGGTACCTGGGTATTAGTGGACTGGTGTGGACAGTATCCTGGCGACAAAATTAACCTAATTTCCCCGAAATGCTCTGCATAACAAGGGACTTTCTATAAAGTAGTATGTCATTGATGTCATTTAGGACTGTATACCTTGTACATGTACTTGTTGAAATAAGAGATGAGATAAGATAAGATTTTCTTCAGATTTTTAACTCCGGAGGGTTAGCCACCCAGGATAACCCAAGAAAGTCAGTGCGTCATCGAGGACTGTCTAACTTATTTCCATTGTGGTCCTCAATCTTGTCCCCCAGGATGCGACCCACACCAGTCGACTAACACCCAGGTACCTATTTGCTGCTAGGTGAACAGGACAGCAGGTGGAAGGAAACGAGTCGATATGTTTCCACCCGCCAGGACTCGAACCCGGGCCCTCCGAGTGTGAAGCGAGAGCTTTAGCCACCAGGCCACTTCTGCATTCCTGCTTTTTTTACGCTACTGCTCAGGAAGGGTTGTAGGTGCACAATAAACTGCCCAGGCGATAGAATTAGCTAATATGGACGAAAATTATAAAAGAATCAGTTTTTTCTGGAAAGAGGAACTGGGAAAATGAAAATTTCCTTGACTAAATCCCGGCAAATTCATTTTCACTAAGTTTTGGAACTTCATACCCTAATCAGCAGAAGGTCAAAGCTCCTTATCAAAAAAATAAAAAATAAAATCAAAATTTTATTTCTTTGTAAAGGTTACAACATGTGTGTTTACACTTGAGGGAGTGAATAGACTTATATCAAACCCTATCAGAGGCAGACGTTTACACACAGTTAATTTTAGCGGTATCGCTTGAGCGGCTAGTTTATTATGCTAGTTTATTGTATGAGTGGTAGATAAAAAAAAAAAAGGATTACTAGTCACACTCAGGAAACCCAATCTGAGTCAACAACAACAGGCTTTCCCGAGGCATACCCCTCAAAAAAGGTTCCTTGATGCTGGTGAGGGGCTCTTGATCTAGGGAATTGGATCTGTGCTCCAGTTAACCGAATTAAGCCTGAATACGTTCCACATCCCCCCTCTCCACAGGCGCTGTATAATCCTACGGGTTTAGCGCTTCCTCCTTGATTATAATAATAATAATAATAATCCCGAGGCATAGAAGCTGATGTATGGCGCCCCGGTCAATTGCCCAGAAGTATGATAACGAGGACGAACGTCCCATAAATAAATAAAAAACGGAAATTTCGATACTGATGTTTAAGGCAAGTGAAGAGCGAAACGTCATCACTCCAACATGGGCAGCGAAGTCCTTAAGTCAGGTGGACGTCACACCTGACCACCAGCAGAGCCAGATACACACCTTTACCCTACACCATCCTTTGTATTGTGATTAGCAATGCTTAGTTAATGTTTGTTGCTGGTCTGTGATCTAAATTCTGAAATTAATGGGTCTAAGCCTGAAATTAATTTCGGCTTTGTCATATCTATATTAATACCAGCTATGAAAATTACTAAGCAGCAAGATTAAAAGCAGATATTGTGCTATGAAAGTGCAATATACAGTGTCCAGGGCAGAGATAAGGATTAAGAAAAGGGCAATTAATACCAGTGATCTGTGTATCAAAATCTGAGTTATCACTAAGTTTTTGTTCCACTATCACTTTATTGGAGAGAGTTGTGTATGAACTGTGCGATCCATGGGGGTCATACCACTGCTAGGGAATGAGAAATGAGGCTGATCCAAGGAAGTGGAAGGTACTCTTAGTTCTTGAACCCTTCACCAGGAACAAGGTACCCTTCCACTTACCATTCCTTCCTTGAATGTTTCACGAACATCATTTTTTTTATGAAAAATAATATTAACTAAAACAGTAGTCAATAAATAAAAGTCAAAATACCATCACTGGGATTTTAAATCCCAGTGATGGTATTTTGCCGGATTACCGCATAGGCAAACTAGGCATTTGCCTAGGGCCCCGCGCATTTGGGGGCCCCGCAGTCCAAGGGGTTCAGGGGCTCATCCAAGACTGCGCACATGGTGCAAGTGCAAAGGGGTCCCTACCTAAAAAGTTCAAGTGTTTGGAGAGTAAAATTGATTTTTAAAAATTAATCAAAACAAAAATAAATAATGAAATAAAATAAAATAAAAATAAATAAACCTAACCATAGATGGCAACACTCAACACGCCTTTGTTTACATCAGAACAGCTGATATCCCCCAATTGACAGAAAAAAAATAATAATAATTAAAAAATTAATAATAATTGATAATGAAAAATTTGTATTTGCATGATTACAGACAGTGATACATCCTCATTATGGCATCTCGTGAACGTGATGTTGGACGTTCTTATGCGAGTGGGTCACAGAAAAGAAAGAAGAAAATTCAAGAAGAAGAACAGAAAAAGAAAGATGTAGGAAGCTGCAGAAAGATCACAGACATGTTCACGAAAACAGTTTCTGATGTTACCAGTACAGTTGAATCTGCAGATACGTCAGATCATACAGGAAGCCCTCCCTCCATTATTTCTCAGCCAGCATCCTACTTTTTTGTGTCTCCTCTCAATGTCTCAACGGACATTTCATCCACAGGATTTGTCTTAACAGATCCTGCCTCATGGCCAAATGTAATCCCAGATTCTCCACATAATGCTTTCATTGCAGAAAACTTCAGTCAAACTCTGAACATTGACTTTAGGAAATCAGCAAGGATTTATGATGATGGAAGTCGTCGTTGTTTAAAGTCATCTATGTTTTATAGGAAGCTTGCAAATTCAGAAACTGTGAAAAGATCATGGATGGTATACTCTGAAAGCTCAGGAAAAGTGTACTGTTCAGCATGCAAGCTATTTTCTACCAAAGAAAATAGAAGCACTGTATCTTACATGTCATCTACTATATGCAATGAATTTATTGAACTGATAACTAAGAAGGTCCTCAATAACATCATAGCAGCTGTGAAAACTGCAAAATACTTTGCAATAAGTGTAGATTCAACACCAGATATTTCACATACAGATCAATTGACATTCATTGTTCGCTTTGTCAACTCCAGTGGTAAGCCTGTAGAGCGCTTTATAAAATTCATTCCTCTTTCAGGCCATGATGGAAAAACAATGATTAATGTAGTACTGGATACTCTGCTTGAACATGATCTCTCTATTATGGATTGCCGTGGCCAGAGCTACGACAATGCAAGTAACATGTCGGGTAAATATAATGGATTGCAAGCCCGTATCAAGCAAATCAACCCACTTGCTGAATATGTGCCCTGCTCAGCACATTCTCTTAATCTTGTTGGGTCATGTGCTGCTGAGTGTTGTGTCGCTGCAGTTTCATTTTTTGGACTTTTACAAGCACTCTTTAATTTTTTCTCTGCTTCAACGCATCGGTGGAGTATACTCAAGTCAACTATTCATGGAGATGTCATCAAATCATTATCAACAACAAGGTGATCAGCGCAGCATGATGCAACACATGCTTTGAAAGACAGCTTTGCTGAAATACGTTCTGCTTTGATCCAAATAGCAGAGGATGAAGACCAGACAGCAACTACAAGAAGCGAAGCAGCCAGCTTAGCACCAAAATTGGAAGATTTTGAATTGGCCTTACTCTGTGTGCTTTGGGACTGTATACTGGAATGGTTAAATGCCACGAACAAGACACTTCAGAAAATTGAAATTGAAATGGCTACTTGTGCTAACCTCTATGCAGGCTTAGTGGAATTTGTAACCTCACTTCGCAATGATGAAGCTTTTGAAATGTTTGAAGAGAAAGCTAAACTGCTGGTGAAAGACTACAGTTACCGGGCTGATCATCAGCGGTCAAGGAAGAGGAAACGCAATTTTAAAGAGCCAGACAATGAAATTGTGTTGCTACCAAGGCAGAAATGTAAGACAGCTACATACTTCGTCATTCTGGATTCACTGATTACAGAATTGGTGAAAAGAAAAGAAATCTACCAGAATCTCAATGACAAGTTTGGATTTCTGTTCAAAATTACTACTATGTCAGATGCAGAATTGAGAGAAGCTGCATTAAAGTTGCAACAACACCTTTCAGCAGATGTTCAGGACACATTTGTTGAAGAAATAGTTCATTTTTCTGGGTATATGAATCAGATTAAAGCTCCACCTGAAAATGTGCGCCCTCAGCTGCTTTGAAACATTTAAGAAATGCAGGTATCTCAGAAACCTTCCCTAATGTTGACATAGTGTATCGCCTTTACCTAACTCTTCCAGCTACTAACTGAAGGAGAACGTTCATTTTCTGTTTTGAAAAAAGTGAAAAACCAGCTCCGTTCAACAATGAGCCAAGACAAATTGTGTAACCTAGCCTTGTTGACCACTGAGTCTGATCTAACAAGAAATATTGATTTTCAGAATATAATTGATGATTTTGCCAATATGAAATCCAGAAAAAAGTTAATTTAAGAAGTGCCTGTGAATATAAACAATTCTTTACTTTCTTGAGTTTATATGATTTGATAGTCTTATGCATGATGCAATGATAACAATAATGGTCAGTGATTTATAAAGGGAATAATAGTTGCTGTAGGTTATGCTGAATATAATAGGTACATGATGTCAATACTTTAATAGCCTAATCTAGTAATACTATGCTGTCTTGAGTTTATTCTCTTTAAAATGCATGATTTAACAAGATAGTTATAATGGCTGTTGGTAAATGGTTTTGGTTGTCTTGATGTACTTTCCCTATTAAATTTAATCTAAATAGCCAGAATGTATTTAATTAGACCTTAAAACAGGCTCACACCGACCCCCCCCCACCCCCAAGCTGGAAGGGGTCGCTTCGCTTACCCGTAACTCAAAGGGGCCCCGCCAATCTGAATAGCCTAGGGCCCGGAGACTTCTTAATTCGGCCCTGACTTGGAACGGCCTGAGCTTGCTACCATCTGCAGCTCATAACACTGCCATCGCCACGAGCCCCTTTGGGGCGGGGCAGATGGTAGACCAGAGGCCTAGCTTCTCCCTACGAGCCCGTGAGGGCGGGGAATGTGGCTAGGCCTGGGGACACTTGGTCCCAAAGATGAGGAGGTACTTGTACCTCCTCCCATAGGAGCCTTAAGTCTCGAGACACTCCCCAGATAGGGAGCCAAGGCCGGGTCGCCACTACTTGGAAAAGACCCGGGCCGGGAGAATACCGGCGGATAAAAAAAAATCACTGGAATGTGCTAATACGTAAGGGGAGAGTAAAAATATCAAAAACTCTCTCTTCATTACCTTGCTTATGTTTTCTGTAGCCACAGCTCTCCAGAGACCAGGACAGTAGAACCTGAAAACACGCTGCACCGCCACGGCAG